TGTCATTTGAGGAGTTCTGCCTGAATATGTCCTTCTTTTGACTTCTTATCAGTTTTGCTCTAACTGACTTGAATTGAGTTGGGTTGTCCTTTTTATCCCATACCAACTCAATACTATACCCATACTAACCCTAAGTATATCTTTGTGAAATTTCAACTTCATCAAACCATTCCAAAACCACCTAGATAGATGTCAGTTGAGGAGTTCGGCCCAACTCTACCCTTATTTTGACTTCTTGTCAGTTTTGCCTTAATTAAGTTGACTTATCACGTAATTTGATAAGATTGCGTTGGGTTAGTATTGAGTTAGTGTGTGCTATCATACGAGTATGTATTGAGTTGGTATTTTAGATCTTCACTAGTGCTAATGTGTGACCGTCTTTTAGCTGCTGCTGCTGCATAGTTGATTTCTACGCATTCGTTCTCTGTGGGTGGTACATTTGGGGAGATTGAGATTGCTTTCATCCGGTTTGGTACTCGTGGATGGCTTTAGTATTTGGTTGGTATCTCTGATCCTCGTTTCTGCTTCAATGCATTGGGTTAGTATTGGGTTGGCGGCGGTTTCGAATGACACATGAGTTATACCAATCCCTGACTATGTACTGGCTGCTTGTATATATCCCAACTCAACTCAATCCAAGCCAACTCAATCCAACCTAATCCAAACTCAACCCAATCCAAGTGATGCTTTCTTTGCCAGGTTCTGACTCTTCAACATATGGTACCTCTTGAATGTCTGCCATAGCTTTATTTGTTGCCTTTCGGGTTGGCTTAGTATTTGGATTCTCGATTCTTCTTTCTATAACAATCTTCTTCCTTATGCCCTTTCTTCTTGCAGTACGTACAGGCGAGGTTTGAATGGGTTCGTAGTGGTTAGTAGTGAGTTTCCTGTTTTCCTATTTAGCGAAGGTGGTGATCCTCCTCCGGCTTTCTCTTGAGCAGCCAAAGCTTTACAGATCTGCACAAAACGCTCAATATCCGGCTTCGTGGGGTCGAAGACTTTTCCGGCCTGGGCTGTATGGGGGACTGTTTTTTCGATGGCCTTGACTATTTGTGCCCACGTGATTAGGTTTAGGCTGTAAACTCTACTTACGTACACGGCCCATTTGAAAATAGCATCTCCTTTCTTGAAGTGAGGAACTTCCCATCGTGGCGTATCCGCCGACCTAAATATCTCGCTAAGTCTATTTCGTACACTAACCCAATTTAAAGCTGCAGATGCTGGCTCGACTGTTTCCAGTGTCTTAAGTCCTACATAGAACTCATTGAGTTGGGTGCTCATCTTCTGGAAACAGACCAGATTTCGTGCCAGGCCACTTTGAATAATCTTCCTGATGCGGGTACTGACGGCCAACTCATGCCAGGTCTGGTTACGGCATAGATAACTTTCCCAACGGATCAATCCTTTTACGCCTTCGTTAAACTTAAAGTTAGCTAAACCTAACCAACTACCAACCCAAATCTTCCTCTTGCATCAACTTGTTGTCCTGCCTAGATTCACATCCCATGCTTTCTTTTAGTTGTTCTCTTCGGTCCATCTTTCAAACTCTTGTATCTCGTATTTATTCATTTTCAAGTCTAGTTATAGACAGGAAGATTCCTTATTGAGTATTTCCTTATTGCGTAATTCCTTATTGAGTAATTCCTTATTAGGTAACTTTCTTCCCGCCTTTTTAGAAACCGGTACTGTCCTTTAGGCATATACAACAGTTGCATTGCGCTGGTTCATTTGCTAATTAAGTAATAAAGCGCATAGATTGGGTTAGTATTGAGTTGGTGTTAGTATTGAGTTGGTTTTGGTTTTGGGATTGTTATTAGTGCTACAGCTGTTAATTGATGAGTAAGTTGTGAGTAAATAGGATGGCCACTAGTAGTTACTCTTCATAAGCAGTCATAGCAGGCTTATCTAGCTGGCTTATGCCTTTATTGGATGCTTACTTGCCTCACTAATACCTCACTTTAGTCTAACTAACCCTATTCTTACTGATCTACC